AGCACAGCGAGCAGCACAGTGGTTCCTCTATCCGGTCGACCCAGCAGCAGACAACGTGCCTGACTACTTTGACGTAATAAAACAACCAATAGATTTAAATTTAATCGAAAAAAAACTAAATTTCGGGTTTTATAAACATCCTTTTATATTTCAGCAAGATATCCGGCAAATTTTCTTTAACGCATTTTCCTATCACCACAGCACCAATGCTGTATGGAGAGATGCAAATACACTCGCCAATGAGTTCGAGAGATGCTGCAAGCTTATACACGATATAAACCCCTATCATCTGCAGCTGCAGCAGCAGCAGCAGCAGGGGCAGGGGCAGCAGCAGCAGGGTGCTGCTGCTGCGGGGGGGGGAGGGCAGAGTAGGCTCGAGGAGGTACTCGCTATACTGGCAGCACCGCATGCAGAAGAACCATGGGGGGATGAGCAGCAGCAACAGCAGCAGCAGCAGCAGTTGCTGTTGCAGCAGCAGCAGATGATGGGGATGCAGCAGCAGCAAGGTTATGCTGTTAGTAGTGATGGCAGCGCAACCGGAATAGCAGCAGATCCTGCTGCTGCTGCTGCTGCTGCTGCNCTGCTGCTGCTGCTGCTGCTGCTGCATATCAGCAGCAGCAACTTGAGGGAGGTATTCCTGCTGCTGCTGCTGCTGCTGCTTCTCCTGCTGTTGGGTTAGAGGGTGTGGGTATAGGTGTGCGCACCCGTCCTCGGCGGGCAGTGCAGCAGCAGCAGCAGCAGCGGCAGCAGCAGCTGCAGCTCGAAGCAGATGATAGTATGTATGAAGAATACAGCTCAAGCCGCAGCAGCGCAGCAAGAAGGCAGCAGAGCGCCCTCTCCCCTTCCCGGCGTGTGACCCGTGGCGGTCGTGCTGTTCGTGCTGCAGCAGCAGGTCGAGGTTTTGCTGCAGCAGCAGCAGCAGCAGTAGGAGGAGCAGCAGGTGTTGCTGCTGGTCGTGGCGGTGCCTGGGATATGTCTGTATCTGGTGTTTCTGCTGCAGCAGGAGGGAATACACCAGCAGCAGCAGCAGCAGCGCAAGCAGCAGCAGCAGCAGCAGGAGGAGACAACCTGCTGCTGCTGGAGGCCCCCCCAGATGCAGCAGTGCTGCCGCCCCCACCTATAGCCCGTATAGGAGTGAACGATAAGCCACTAAGCAGCAGCCAGAGAAGAACCTTATGCATACACATGCGTATGCTGTCGGCGCAGCAGCGGCGTGCTGCGCTTGAACTTATACAGGATGATATAGGTATTGTTGCTGCCGATCATATGTATGATGCTTCTTTTGCTGTCGATACAGAATTGCTATCTATAGAAAAACAAAAACGCCTATTTGCTTATGTTAATAGTATGGTTAGGGCTAATAGGGAGCTTCTTCTTAGTAGGGGGATTATAAATAATATACACCCGAGTACTCCTGCTGCTGNAGGGCTAATAGGGAGCTTCTTCTTAGTAGGGGGATTATAAATAATATACACCCGAGTACTC